AGAAGGCTTCATTTCAGAATGGTTCATTTCACGGTGGAAGCATGCAGAAGCGGAATTGAGCACAACGAGCAATCGAAAAGCCATAAGCTGTGTGAAGAACGAGTTTGACCATTGCAAAAACGTAAGGTGAAGTTCATCTTATCCAAGTTTGCTTCTCAAATCAAAAAATATTAGCTCTACATTGAATGCTAAAGGTGGGAAATTCCGAATAAATAATACGTTTTATTAATAAAAGAATGTGTAGGAAAGTCAGTAGATTCGAATCATTTTCTCCCTCTGGAACTGAGCCACGCAAAATTGCACACTGCCACTTCGACTTTCCTACTTCCATTTGCTGCACGACTGCTGCGAAAATTTCGATTTCCTACCTTCCACGAAGGTGACTTCGGAGGAACATTGCCTCCAGAACCGCTTGCAGCCTTCTTCGCTTCGTCTTCCAATTCATTTACAAAGTCTTTACGATTCTCTGTTGAACGCAGATTTACTTCTGATAGAGCTGAAACCGTCTAGTTATCTGATTTTTGAAATTATCAAAAAGCAATTTGACTGTTGCAATGTTGTAGATTCGAACTTTTCGCTGACCCAGCCTAACTGTGAAAGCTTAAAAATAAATAGCACTTCGGGAACTCACGGATTTCCGTCGTCATCTGCTTATGGATTATAATTGTTTTCGTCTCGCAATTCGGTGATGAGGTTTTGACAGGGTTCTGTGGAAAATATATGTTCTGTTTTGCGCGTATTACTTCTTACAAGTACTATCTATGGAAAGTTGTTGCTCCCATAAAAAATGATATCACGACCGACAAAATAAGCACAGTGTTAACATTATAAAAAGAACAACTATTCACAGTGAAACTCACAAAGTGCACTGGTGAAAAATGTGCTTGGCTGGCGCTACGAACCTGAAGCCAAAGCGTTGAGATTAAGCACACACAGTTATAAGCATTTTGGATTGATAACAGGCATACATGCACATCAGGACAAAAAGATTCGACATCACTTTGGGAGAAGAAATCACAGTTTAGAATGTCGGGATGAACAGTTTGAGGGGCAGTTGAGCTGGTTATGGAAGGCAATGGGCAATGGCAATGGAACATGGCAAAGGGTAAGTAAGAAGGAGAAGAAACAACTGGATATCTCTATCGAAATGTAAACGGACCATAAATGGCATTTCCCTTTCCTATAGTATTTCACGATTTGGAAAGAGATTCTTCAGAACGAAAATGAAGGAATCGTATGCCCCGAGCCTAATCTCAATATTTATCTTATTTTCGTCCGGAGCTGCTGAAGACAGTCACTCTAAATAGTCGCAAAAGTCAGAGAAAGTGCACTTGGTTTGGACGGATGATTTTACATATGGAATGAGAAACTGGATTGAATAAAAGGAACTCGAGTAAAAAGGTAACGGAAATGGAAGATGGCGACGTTCCGATCAGAGCACTGATCTAGTAACTTCGGCAATTATTGCTGGCAACAAAGTAGAGACCCTTGACGGCCAGCAATCAGAATTCCAAGCTACTACTCAGTGGCTCATCAACTTTGATCTATGCCCAAAACCCCGAATTCCTTTAGAAAACAATAAGCAAACAATAACACAATCGTATTAGCTGGTGCAAAGGCATGCATTAAGAAGTAGCAACACATGCAGTAAGTAAAATCAGCTCAACGTACAAAGGGTTTTGGCGACATGATTGCCAATGACGAAGTCGATGAGCACTTTGGGGGTGTAACCGCTTTCTGAAGCAACAGTAATTCATTTAGATTAGTGAATATGTTAATGACAGCTTCAAGACGATAGAGTAGAAGCCATAGAGGGATTAAATAGTGCAACAAAACGGCAACGAACTGTTTGTGTTAAATGAAATGATTTACAGTAAAATGAACTCACTTTCTTCAAGAAAGTATGTGCACCGTATTCGTCACTCGACATATCCACCTGCCCATCGTTGTCCTTCACTACTTCAGAAGTCGTCTAAAACGCTCGTATGTTCAAAAAAATTTCCACGCCACATTTACACATCCTTCATCAATACTCAAGCACAGGAGTCGTAGAGTCGCAAAAACATTGAAAAGAAAAATTTTCAGAATCTTTGGTACGGGTTGACAGCTACCTAATGCGGCCGATTCCAGGCTCAAGCTATTCTACAGCTGGTCACCCATGAAGACCTTACCTTCTTTTTGAACGTATGCGCTCCGTATTCATCACTCGATAGATCAACCTCGCCGTCCTGATTCTTGGGGAACATCCTTGTAGCAGGAATCGGCAGTGTATCTACACTTTCATGCATTCCACATCCAGCCACAATGCTGCTCTCGTCAATAGTGTTCTGAAATACGTTTCATAAGTTCGACATAAGAGACCCTTTACATACCCAGTTCTATACATCGTAATAGAAGGAAGTAAGTGTGTTGCAAGATAGGAATGGTGGCCCCACTGATGGACGTGGACAGGCAGAAGGAACAAGGGCAAAGTGATGCCATAAAAGGATTAGCTGTCAGGATTGAAAGATATAACACTTATTATACCCCCGACATTTAGCGAACATTTAACAAGACCTAATAATGTTGCTCAAAGCAGATATATAACCAAATACTCACAAAAATCCGTCTAAAGGTGTAACCAGAATAACTTCTAGAACCGCTGAACACCGACATTCATCAGTCTTACTAAAGGAATGACCAATCAGTAGCACATGAAGGCGAACAATGAAAAAAGCTGACCAATGGAGGATAAGATGCAGAAAGGAATATATTGTGATTACATGAGTAGATAGGTTGGTTGATAGATAGAAAGATAGAGAGATAGATCACCCAACTTTTGTACAATTACTGATACGTCCTTTCACTAAGCCAAATCGAGAGCAGCAATCGTCAGTTCTTACGCCGATATTCCATCATTTTAGATCTACTTTCCCAATTACTTATAAGATCAAGCCGCCAGAACAGCNTTGTCAAATACAATCAAAGTGAGGAAGGGCAAAATGGTAACATAAATCACTGGTAGAGGCCAGATTAAGGGCTATTTCCAAGTAAAATAACATACCACCGTTGTACACATCGATGATTCGTATTCTACTATTTGTGTGGCAGCAATGGGATGGGCAAAATGAATACGTCGAGGCTCCTCCTTTACTGCATCCAATTTTTGTGGAGCTAAATTACTTTGTTTGCTTTCTCATCACATTAAAAACAGCATTTGAGCATTTTTAATCGAACATGATTAGAGTTTTACAATGGAAAGAATTAACGTACTTTGGTTACAAACGATTGTTGTGACTTGTTTTACCGGCGATGTTTCGCGGCTGCCGGGCGACTTCGTTGAACTAGACTTTAGCTGGGCCATACCGCCTGGCGTGCACAGCACTGACGGTCTCGTCTTAAAGAAACAACTCAACAGTTTATAAGGCACAAATACTATCAAACGAGGACTCTTTTTTTAATACAGTAACACAGTACCCACAGTACAGTAATACAGTTTTTAATACAAAATACGGTACACACAGTAACTCCAAACATCATCGGAGACAGTTTGAAGTTAATTCTCACATGCCAAGACCTCACCAGAGTAAAATTTCAAGGAATAATCGAAAAAGATAAAAAATACTGCTCGAATAAAATTATGAGTGCGTTCTAAGTAGTGTTAATTCAAGAAAACAGCATCAGGCTATAAGCAGACTAGGAAGATTTAGACGATTACCTACCTCGCCAATACTGAGCCGTGGCGAAGCTCCCTTCATGTATGCCTCCTTCGGCTTTGACCCGGCATGTTGCCAATTATGATCGACTTCGAAGTTTTCGTATTCTGCGGCCAGCTCGGAAAATCGCGACTTCAACCGCGAAGGCGTTGGTTTCGACTCTGCTGCAGGCTCGTTAGCATTACTATCGCTGTTGGTTCTATTTTTTAACGGTGATTCCTGAAAACCGAAGCTCAAGATAATAGGGAAGGAGAATCCAAAAACTCATTTATGTAAACAGACATCTCAACCGTACCATAAGAATGTCCTTAGAGGCAGAGGTTTCGTTCTGCGTGTTTTCCATAGATTTATCTTAAATTTTCGAGTTAATTTCTAATTATGAAGTGAAGGAACAATTAGAAAGAAACTTGTAATTGTAGAAACGTCTTACGAAGTAGGTACAAGGGCCCAAGAAGCTTACCTCCGCCTCCACTAAGGGATGAGACTTCCAAATTCTCTTTAGAGCTTTCCAAAGATGCGCTCAACTCCATATTTCGTTGTCGGACACGTTCTTTAATGCGCTTAAACGAAACACAGGCTTTACACTTGGCAAAAGCTTAAACACATAACTATCTTGAGAAAAATAAATATAAAAATTTGCCACAACTTGTAGCTCAGATGGAATCTAACGGCGGCAGGTAGTAATGTGCCTAGAAGGGGATTTCTACATAACGTAGGTAACAATGCACCGGGACATTTTGGCTCCTGAAGTCTTGGCTGCCTATGACTTTCAGCAAAACTACACCAAATAGCGCTACTCCAAGGGTTGAAATAGCGTTACTAATATGCCCGAGAAATCGGTGGGACGTCCACTATAATACTGTGTGTTATAAAAACAAAGATAAAGCAGAACTGGCAAAAATCACCAAAAGAAAAAACTGCCCCACTGAACAATCCTGCTGATATTAACAAGGCATTTCCCAAACGATCCCGATAACATCAGGTCCACCATGAACCTCACCTCATTACTTTCATCCAATGAGTACATCTCCTTCGATTTTGACATCCTTTTTATACTAACGACGAATTAATTGGTTTGGAGTAATCACGTGAATTGAGGCGTCTTAAAAAAGTTTGGATGACCGAACAAATTTAAAATGGACTTGTAAATCTCTCTAGGAAAAGGATCAGGAACATCATATGAAAGAAGAAGTTGATTGAACGAAATCAACCTTATCTGGTAAAGGTAATGATCTGAATTCTTTTTTGGAATTGAGAAAAGAGTATCATCTCCCCTGCATTCTTTTGACAAAAAGGACCTTGAACAGAGTGGATTTCATAGACAAGAAAAAAGAAAAGATTGAATGAGTGAATCTGGAGTGATCTAAAAAGTTACCTTATAACCAAAATAGAAAGGAAATCAAATGACACATCAAAGTTTGCAATNTGGAACCAAAGATGTGGAGGGATTCAAAGAAAACAACAAAGTCTGAACTGAATTATTTATGTTCTATCGAACAAAGGAAAGCTTTTAAGAGGGGATCTTGATCTGGAAAAACGTACTAAACCGCAATCAGACAGTAACCCAAATAACAGTACAACTTCGGGTAAACAAGGCAAACATCCAGAAAGGTTTGTTGATTACAGATAAGGATTTTAAGGTTTTTAAATAGCATAACAGATGTTTCATAATCGAAAACAACAAATTCAAATCGGCTCCGTTCGCGCCCGACGCCATCAGCGGCGCGCAGCCGAACGATTTGAATGGGCTGCCCAGCGTCTTATCATCAAACCCCCTGAAATTGACAACAAGGTGGCCATGAAGCTCTCTCCAGATAGCTGAAGGTGCTTTCATAGTCTGAGTGTAAATCCGGTATTTAAGGGACCATTACGGAGCTTTGTATCCATATTGGTAAGTTATTTCATCTTTCTTCACTGCTTTACAACACTGTTTGAAGCTTTTTTCACTGAATCTGACACTGTTGACATTACCAATCTGTTCTGGAACCAGCCATATTCGAATGGGCGAAGGTACGGCCGTACTCATGTGGGAGATGAACGGCTGAACGGCGAAGGAAGGATGATGAAGACCGACTTAAACATTTTCGGCCCTTGGGAGGCGATTGTTCGTCAGCCTCGTTCCACAGTTTTTTCACCAATCTCTTTGAAAAGTTAGAAATTGATGTTATTTACTGTTCTGACCACGAGTAAACAAAATCAGAGCGAATAATATCTGTACATAAGTTTTGGTAAACAGTATTAGGTGGGAAAAGCTTTCAGCATATGCCTGTCAACTTGCTCCAAAACACGATGCAACTCACGTGTTCAGGTCATGGAGTAAGCCCTATGAGGGGATTAAGGAAGGTTTTTTTACTGGCTATAATCGTTGAGTACAATTTACTTAATTTTCTTGAAAATAGGTGGTGGTTGAATTATTTAATATGGGCTAGCCGTCAGTGATAATTTCCTTGACTTAAAATTAGTCGAACACAATAACGACTTATCACTCAGCTTTTAAGCAGCATGTGGCAATGCCACTAAATGCGCCGCACACTTGAACTCCATTCGGTTTAGCTAAGGCCTAATTGTGAGGGCGCAGCTCTTCTTGCTTAAAAGCTGTCGTTCAGGTCAAGTTCTTTATCTTTATCTTTAGATAAAGATAAAGAAAGATAAAGACAAAGATAAAGAAAGTTCTTTTTTTTAAAGGTTAGAACAGAAACGTAGAAATGGATATGTAAGGTTGAATTAATCTCAGAAAAATTACCTGCCCTTATCGTCAATGGTCCACTTTGGAAGACCGCTCTGAGTAAAATTGGCATGACACTGATCTGTTGATCTTCAAAGGTCACGGATATAATCAATCAGCCCTTTTTACTGTAAACTTGCATTGAATATTAGATTTAGGGAAAAATTGAACAGATTAGAGATAACTTATGAAAAGAAACAGTTTAAGAGGTCGTGGTGACTATTGGGATTTCGGAAAAAGTCAAATAATCATTCTATAGCGAAGAAGTCGAATCACCTCAGGCTTTTAGGAGAAGCAGTCTACTTTGCTTCCTGGGACATTGAAGTATCGCGCTTTTTCTGTGTTGATTACAATTATATTTTCTGAAATGTCGTTCCGTTCCGAAATAAAGGAGCATAAAAATCACAAATAGTGTAGGGGTAAGAGCGCCGCTATCACCTTCAGAGTCACGGATTCGAATCTGTCGCAGTCCAATCGGTTTCTGATCACTTTAAAACAAAGTAATCGGCAATAGGCTGGATTAACACTCGTACTGGAATACCGGTTGACTCAAATAATTACTGTAAAAGTCATTTGTGTATCCCAAAAGCTTCAACGCCTCGGAATGATAACGAAATGCATGGCGTATCACAAAAAGTGAGTAATTAACGTTAATTAACGACAGCTGCCTTCTATTTTTATCTTTTTACCAAAATATTTTGCCTCGTGGTCGTTGATCTTAACAGTTCACCATGATCGGTAGTTGATCTACAAGTCGATGAACTCCTTGCGTGATCGTCGCCTGATTGCTTCCGGCGTCCATTTTCGAAATCGATACTTCCCTGGTCGGTCGACAGTCAATCTCCCTACGCAGATATGGAGGATTTCCGTCAAAAACTTGGAGGTGAGAACCAGTTATTGAATTTTTTGAGGCTATTTTTGTCAGTGTTGTAGGCAAAATGACAATTTTCTTTTTTCATGTGTTAGATGGCAAATGACAGGCTAAAAGGCTTTATTCGTGAGCACAAGCTAGTGTTGATAACTAACTCTAACCGGAGCAAAGAACTAAATGATTTCCATTCTAAATGAGTCGGTGTTTCTTACTGTACTCCTGCTGTGTCTCCACAACTGCCACGTCTTCCTTGTCTTCTCTGTCTTCCTTGTCTTCCTTGTCTTCTACGGCTTCTATTACCTCTCGGCGTGGTGGACAGTTACAATAGTGCGCATCTTCGCCAGGCTCGCCTGGTCGTCCCATCGGTCCTTGTGGACCAGGATGACCATCGTGACCAGGACTACCAGGAATTCCAGGTTGTCCAGGAAGTCCTGGTGTTCCAGGCGTGCCTGGAGTACCAGCGTTTCCTGGCAGACCTGGTTCACCGGCCCATCCAGGGTCTCCAGGCAGACCAGGTGCTCCTGGGAAGTAAGCGAATCCGGGTACGCCGTCTGGTCCGTTGGCCCCATCGAAACCTGGAGGACCTTGGACTCCTGGATTTCCTTCAGGCCCTGGCATTCCGAAATCACCATCCAGACCAGTTGGCCCTTCAGGACCTGGAGCGCCTGGGTAGCCGGGCTCGCCTGGATAACCGTCTGGTCCAGGAGGACCAGGTGGACCAGGTGGGCAGATGATGCAACCTGAAGTGATATATTTTTTGAGGAAAAAATGGAAAGAAAGTTAACTTCAGAGTAAAGCGCTCACCTCCAGGAATGTCTTGCGTGACGACAAGGGTGATTCCAGCTGCTCCAGGTCTGCCGGCCTCTCCGGGCGCTCCCTCCTCTCCACGAGGTCCAGGGGGGCCAGGCGGTCCACGTGGTCCTGGAGGACAGCCAACAGAAGAGACCGAACATTGGCAAACGTCAGGATATGCGTAACGCTTTGGCCGGAACAGGGCTGCTAGTATTGGGGCCTTCGATTCACCGGTAGGACTCTGCAGTACGAGTAAACGATCCCAGGTGTCGTCGGCAATATCTCGGAATTCGGCCATACCACTTTGGATTTCATCCTGTAGTGCAGTAATATCATTGGCGATGTAGACGATGCTGAATATGGCCGCGACGACGCCTACTGCACAGGCCCAAGCGCCTATGTAGCCGACGGTGGACATTTAGATCTGTGCTGACGCCCAAGAACACTCGCTTATGTAGGAACTGTGTGGAGAGCGAAAAAAAACGGGATCTCGGACGTGAGATGATGAAAAAATCGCGCACAATGAATGCACTTTAAGGTCTGTGAGCTGAAAAACGAGATTTTTTCCTGGTCAGGCGGTCTTCCTGGATTGGTGGCGTTTTATTGGGTTTAAAGAAATGTTCATCCGCGTTTGCGAAGAAAAGAGATGGAACGGGGATTTCCTGAATTTTCTTTACCATTTGCAATCATTACACCTTAGTACAGTTAACTTTTCCATGGGCCCATCGCGCACTTTCGCAAGGTTGACGAGATGCGGGCAGAACTTCAAAGTGACCGGATTTACTTTTGGCACGATTTCTAGGAGGTTCCATTGAAACTCCGGTACTGGCTTTATCTGATCAAATTATGACCTCTAGAATACGCCATGCATTTCACTTACAGTATATGCCGTAAAGGTATTAACCATTAAGTGCAGACTTATTCCAAACGTGAGTCCATGGTCAGTTACTGCTGGAGATCGTTTTTTTCGACAGACAAGTCTGTTTTGATCACAATTTGGGGTGATTAGTACGAACCCGGTGAACTGGCATTTGACTTTGAAACTGTGTAGGTGATAGCAACGCCCTTTGTCACAACTCTATGGACATTGATGCCATTTAATGTTTTTTCACGTTTGGTCTCTTTCCTACTATTCAAACTCACCGGCTCACGGTTTGATTGGATTGCTTAGGCCTTACTCCTTACATGGTGAATGAAATACTATCTATCAGTGGGACAGAAATCTTGTTTTGGTATCACATCTATACGACTGGGTTAAACAGGTAGCTATGCTCCGCTACCAATAGGAGTCGATTTGGAATATATGGCAGGTTCTTATGTTCTTCTCATCTGATTCTTCATTCTTCAAAAAGCTTCATTGCCAGTCAATAGAGCCAGAAATAGCGTTTTTTATAGTTACTACTCCATCTTCTAATTAGGCACCATAAATGACTCAAGATGACTCTCCAATCGAAGACGGAAGTTGATCCGCTGAAGAAAGCTCCGGCGAAGGTTTCAAAGAAAAACTGCAATGTTGATCGCTAGGAAATGCGCAGTTCCTTTGAAAGGGTGCAACTTGCTCTGTTTGTGGGTATAGCCTGCTCTTTCGAAAAAAAATCCGATTTTGTGATCCAGTGCACCCTGAATCAGGGTAAGGACATCGTCATAATCAAAGGGCCAGCTTATTATGCTTCAGTTTAGAGAACCTTCGGGATTCATCGATGACTAGTGTTTATGCCCGATAAGATGGTGGACTATTTCACCTACTCTACAAGGCCCCGCTGAAGGTAAGAGGTTGTTGAGATTATTTTTTATATGTTTTTTTTCAGTTACGTTTAAATGAGATAGCCAACATGAAAAGACAGTTGTAAATCGAAGATGTGGCCCATGATAGTCTTCTTCTCTAAAGCCATGTCTTTTAATTTACAACGAGAATCATCTCACAAGGTCTCTAGAAAGGGAAAGCCTTGCTACGTTCTCTCATTTTCGATGGTAGGCAGTTATTGGATCGCGAAAGTGCCTACATAGGTCATCACTGACGTATTGGTACTTTGCCTGATAGGTAAAACATAAGCTGTGTTAGGCTGTGCTGTGCTAAGCTGTCACCATATATTCACCGAGGTTTGTGAACGATCTAGCTCAAAAAGGACATGAAGACATTTTCAAGGTTCCTCAGGCTCCACATCTCGCAATGTAGAATGCACGTTACTGTTTTAACCGAAAGTCCGGTTAGGTTATATTTCTAGGAATCACACATTTAGGGTAAAGTCGCCCTGCGTAGCTTGAGTGATACAGAATTGAAATGTAACAATTCATAACGATTGGCACTTGCCGGTCGCCTTTGTAGTGAGACTCCGTTATCTTGACGATGAGATCGCACTTTGGCCATGGAATTCTTAGTCTAATTTGGACCGTTTTCTCAGCAACTTCTTTTATTCGTGAGCGGGTGCTATGTATCAAAGAAAAGTTCACTTTGGACCCGTGAAATCAATTTTGGTTCAAAGCGACATCTTCTTCAAGATGTCTTTATAGAAATATTTAGTATGGTCAATGCTGATATGTTTTCAATGAGAAATGAGAAACAGTCCGAATACTCTCAATGGTTTAATGCCACAATTTTTTTTCTTCTACTCGAAATCCGCCTCGTCGTAGAGCTTGTGAAGCCTCCGAAACCCAAGTAGATGCAGTTGTATTATTATAGGTTGATGCATAATTATTGCGGATTTTTTTTTCAACAAATTTTATTTAACGAAACGATAGAAATACCGAACAAAAACATCTTCAAATAATTACTCCGGAACTTATCCACCATCTACGTCAAGCACTACTTCTCATTGGCTGGATAGTCGAATTCCAAAAGCGAAGAAGTTTTGATCCTTACGGGCGATCCACGCCTTGACACCGACCTTCAAGTCATCCATATCGACGTAAGTTCCATTCCCACCCCAGTTTTCAGCGAACGGTTGACAAGATAATCCATAGAAGTTTTTGCTGGTGAATATGGCAGATTTAAGAGCAGATCTCATTTCTTGGTTGGCTTTGGCTGATTGTTCCATCGCCGAAAAGTTACTGAGATCGTGGAGTGACTCTGTCACCTTCCAGCCTTTCTCGAAGTAGTAGAGCCTAATTTCGCGAATAAGCGGATGATTTTTCGAGTATATTCTTGTAATGGAAATCAAGTAGATCATTTCTAGAAAAAAACCGGACTCAGTATTCGAATTCTATCGAGAGGAAAAAAGCAGCGAAAAAATCCGCAATAATTATGCATCAACCTAATAATTGCTTCATTCCTCCAATCCAATACCCATTCATCTCCTAATAATTTCCTCGTGAAAAATGAAACAGGACGACCGATCAGAGGCTTGTCGTTGACCTGTCCGCACCGCGTGGAATTTGTCGAATCGACGGGCGATCTCGGAAAGAGATTCACTGGATGCGCGATAAGTCGGAATGGATAATGAGTTCGGGCTAGGCTACATCATTATGAGCCGGGGAAGTTGCAAAGCAGTATGTGTGCTAAGGTTGTTATAAACATAATAAAAAAAGCTAATTTCGTAATACCCTAAGCAAGAAAATTACCATTCGTATAATGTATTTGTGGTGCACCCTGTATACACCCTACACAATGGTGCATGTAGGGTGCACTATAAAGAAATTCTACACATTACTAAAGGCGGGTCTATGAGTTGTGATTCCGCCCGAACGATTATTCCGCTTATATCAGAAGGGTACAAGACCTTGTTTGAAGATATCGTAAAAAAAGCGAATTAGGGGAAAAGTCAATTTTCCTGGTCGGTATGGTCGTTCATAGAGCAGTTCCTTGTTGATCAATCAGTCGTGCCCCTGAATCTTCCGGGTCGTAATTTTTGGACTTTTTGCTCGGCCCTCATTTCAACCCACTTTTGGGTCGCTAATAATCCGAAGAAAGCGAAACGTTTCCATTCAGGAATTGCTTGAACGGCCTCCCAGCTTAAGAAAGGCATTGAAGGTGACCAGTGAAGTGCATAGAATTTTAATTTCATTCCATATGTCTATTCCATATGCTTTTTTAATTGAAAAATTTTCATGAAGTGAAATAATACAAATAGAAAGAGAGTGGTGGAAATTTAATTTTGCGTCGATCTTTCTTGAAATTGTTATTAATCTGCCCACTTGACTGTGAGCACTGTTTTTTTTAAATAGCTCGGTAGGATAAGCACTGATGAATACAGAAGGTCAAAACAATCCTAAAGTGATTCTCCGTACTCAGGGTTCAATAGGAAGGGGATGCCACTGATAGGGTAGCATTAGCTGCAGGGTGTTTCCACAGATGCTTAGCATGCCCAGTCTTAAGCATAAATAGACGAAAGCCTCAGGGTAGCGACCATATTGCCATCTTATTAACTGCTTCCCAAAAAGCTAAACTGAAGCCAAATTGAAAACCTCTAAAAACGCAGAGTCTATGACGTTGCAACTGCATCAGTCCGGAGGTGGTGTGGGGTCCTCACTGTCTATTCCTTTGGCCTCGATCTTCCACAAATAATCCTCCATTTTTTTACAGAAGTTTGAATGATTCCAGTCTCACTGTCAAGCCTTGAGGACTGTCTGGTAATGTTGCATTGCATGGATTAACCTCTACTTGACCTCCCTCCTAAGTCATTCTTTCTGTCTGTCGTAGCTCCCCTGGAAAATCCTTCCTTCCCTGCAAATCCCTAGCAAAGTCGCCCTTACGACGTTACGCTTGGCCAAAAGAGGAGTGGGCAAGATTGAAGTAGGCGTGATCAAAGTTGATAGGGCTCGGACAAGTATGTACGATAGTGTAGCCCGAATGATATGAAAATCTTCTGTTCTGGATGTTAACTGGGCTGAAAGAAGCTATAATCAACATTCAATCCAAAAAAATTTACATAGTTTCCTTGACCAACTCCTTCATTCAAATCACCTCGTCGTTATAGATGAACTCATGGATCATTTCCCCGTTTTTTCGAACTAATAGGAGCGTAACTTTCGAGCACCGGCATGAGCGCAATAAATTTTAAACTCTCTCCTTCTCCTCTGATCTTTTCCACTCAATATCATTCCTTTAAACTGGTTTTACCTTTTTTCATCTCTCAATATCTTTAGGTTTTTTCTTACTTAGTCCCAGGTTTCTCCAACATATTGCTGTATTTATCAGAAATGCGACTCAAGCTAGCCAGTGCCATCTCTTAACTAACTGTGGTTCAGGCTATGATTGCTTTCCTGTCATTATGGCATAATCAGAGTTATCGTAGGAAATAGGCTTGACGGCGGTTCTAATCAAACAACCTGCTATAAGCAACTATATATACAAATAGTAAATACAGATTTACTCAGAAAGTAATTAGCTAGTAAAAAATCGCATTGAAGTGAACGAAAAGTATCACCTGTATCACTTGTCGTCCCGTTGATCATCGACTTCCTGCGGGCGCCAGTAACGTC